GCCGCCGCTGCTGCACACGGGTCTTAGTACGCAGGCGCCGACTCCCCACTGACCAACCAAGCAGCCCTATGACAGCCGCGCAAGCGTGCTACCGGTCTCCTCCGCCCTCCACCCACGCACTGCGCAAGCGCAGAGACCCCCTCTCCACCCTCTCTCCCACCTACCCATCCAATGACGTGAATACGTGACCCCGCCCCTCGCAAGCCCGAAACGCTCCCAGCGAGTCAGCAACGCGCGTGCGCATCCGGGTTTTTGTTTTTTTTTTCTCAATCCCTTCACCCTCCTTTTCCCTCCTTCAATAGAAGCCCAGCCTTACCGGACAATCCTTGCGCATGCGTAAGAAGGCTCCACACCCTCCCTAGGAAACGCCTCGGCCTCAAAGCGCATGCGCGTCGAACGCCCCTTCCACCTCCGGCGTCTTCTGTACGCCGGACGTTGAGTGGCCCACGCCACGCCACGGAGTCGCTGGTGCCTCCTACGACGCATGCGTGCTAGGGAACGCCCAGCCTCCGCTCTAACGGGCCTCGTTGAAGCGGCCGTTTCCGAAAGCTTGCACGGGGCACTTGCGACGTGGGCTGCTCCTCTTGTCCCGAGACCAGGTGTTCAGATCTACTCACCCGCGAGAGATCGCTCTCCGCTTCTGGTCCTAGCGTGTTTGCACGGGGCTTCTCCTCTGGGCTTCTTGCACGCCGCTCCCGCGCCGTGGAGTTCCCCCCCAGACACCATCTTGAGGGGAACCTCAGTGCGCACCGGTCCTCGCACCGGTCCTCGGGCTTCATGGGGGCCGTTCCACGCCTGCATTTAAATGCAAAGGTTTACAAAGTCTTTCCCTGTGTTTCCAGCTACTCTGCGGAGTCCACAATAAACTGTCTACGAGTACCCAGGAAAACGTGTCTTTAAAGAATGGTGTACCAAAACTCACTGACATTCTATACGTCAGAAAAGCTGGAAACAAGGTAGCACCTGGAGTTTTATTTCTGTCGCCCTGGGCCTATGGCAGTGAACTGCTTATCTTGAAACGACTCTTTTTCCCCTCCAATCCCCGGGTTTCCTATCTTCAGGGTTATTTTGTTTACTTCAGTAAGCTAGGAGGACAAGGTAGGTCAATGGTTGTAGAGTTCACCTTGGACTCCAAAGCGCTAAACCTAATTCTTGCTGTTAATATGACTTTGAGAAGTCACTTCAAATCGCAGCCTTAGGTTTCTGTCCATAAAACAAGGACTAAAATGACGTCTGATGCTCTCGTTACCAGGTTATTGCAAGAATCCGGTGCTGTAGGGGAAGTGCCAACACCGGCTTAAATTGTTATTTTTGTACAGCAAGTGCATTGCACCGTCATGCCCGCTCCATCCAGCTCCATCCGTTCAATCTTCTCTGCCCCTTTCCGTTTTTTTAAATATCATTGTATTGGGGGTTCTTAACAGCTCTTGTAACAATCCATACATCAATTGTATCAATCACCTTTACTCATATATTGCCATCATTTTCAAAGTATTTTCTTTCTACTCAGCCCTCTGCATCAGGGCCTCATTTTTCCCTCCCTCCCCTGACCTCACACCCTCTGAACCCTTGACTCTTCTCCTTTCTTTGTAAATACTTTACTGGCTGCATTCTCTAAAAGCCCACTTTCAGGGAAGGGAGAAAAGAGAAGCTGTTACCAAGGGCTCAATAGAAACTAAATGTCTAGAAAAGAATGATGGCAACATATATACAAACATGCCTGACACAGTTGATGTATGGATTGTTATAAAAGTTGTAAGAGCCCCCAAGATGATCTTTTAAATAAATTAATTAAATAAAAGCCTAGCGATTCTCCTAGATAAGAGTGGAAATGCACACTCACTGCGGTGGAGTGGAATCTGACACAAAGGCCCTTGGCCCTTGAGGTTTCCCAGGCTGTAGGGGTTGCTGAAGAGCAGGACGCTTCATCTTCATCCTGGGGGGCTCGAACTGCTGACCTAGCAGTTGTAACCAACGCCCTAGCTGGGCTTCTTTAGGTAGGAGTATAGAAAGAAGGACACTACGCTCAGTAGAGGGGCAGCAAACGAGAGGAAGGCTTTGGACGAGATGGAGAGATGGACGGACACCATGGCCTCAAACGTCAGAACCACTGTGAGGATGGTGCCGCGAGGCTGGGCCGTGGTCCCTTCTGGTTGTGCATAGGGTCCCTGTGAATTCAACTGCCGCATGGCACCCAACAACCACACGGAGGAGGGTAAGTCGACAAGTATTGTTTCAAACACAACCAGCTCTAGTAAGCGAAACTATCAATATGTGAACCAATTGTTTCCCGACATACACATTTTGCTTTAACTTTATCTGTTTGCTTTCGCTTTCTTATGACATTAAGGTTAGTTAGTTTTACTCTCAATACTTACTATGCATTTTGTTGAATTCATCCATTACAGTCACATGCAGGTACCGTGTCACCGTGCCTACTTCTGCCCTGTGTTTCCTGTCTCCATCTTTCCCCCTTTGCTAACCCTCTAACCCTCTGTACTTTGTCCGTGGGTAGATGCTGCCTTCCCCCCCCTCTTAAATGGTTGATTATTCTACTACGAGTGAGTTCATTTCTAGACCTTAAGTATGACGATGGCCAGAGTCTTGAGGGTTCCCACCAGTCTCCATCCAACTCGTGAGCCTAGTCTCTTACGATTTTGGATGTTGTTCCACCTTCCTGCCACTCTATCCAGGGACTTCTAATGTGATCCGCTTTTGAGCAGTTGGTGGTGCTAGCCAGGAACCATCTACTTCTTCTGGTCTCCGGGCTCCGGAGACAGATGTTTGCCGGGTCTCTTGTTCCACTGGACTAATTGTTTCCGTATCTTTTGATTGTTGT